TGGTTTTAAGGGTTGTGGAAGATAAACTGCGCAGATTAACAGACGCGATCCCACGAGAATGGGTTCCAATGCTGATGGAACCCAACCAAAGGAAAGAAGGCATGTGGCTTCGGGAGGAGGTGATGCGAGAGGAGGGAGGACCAGTCTACAGGGTCGAAACGCGACCATAAGAGGAAGAATGGTTGGCATCACAGTGGGGGCTGGAAACGCCACCTGCGAGGGAGGGCAGCTTGGTGCAGAAAAGAGAAAGTATCATTGGCCCAGAGGACTCTTTGATTGCCATCAGAGTGATCCCGGAAGTGGAAAGCAGAGGCAAGAGGGGATGGACTCCCATTCAAGGAGGTAGACCAATAACAGAGCTGAGGCTCGACCCAGGCACGATAGTATGGAACACGCAATCGCTAGCGAGCTCATCTCTGGCCAACTATAATACTCAAATGGGTCGAATGATTCTCAGCTCCAACCAAAACTACCTTCCAGAAATTTGTCAGAGTGCAGCAAGAGTACTGAACCTCCCACACACACCCTCCCACAGACAGATGGAACTGTACTGGACGCATTTGCCATATCTCCCAAGCCGGAAAATGTCAGGACTCCTCTGGTTAATCTCTCATTCAGCAATTCCAGTAGCGGCATGGTTGGCAGACAGAGGGATGGATGTCTCCAGAACATGCCGCCATTGTCGGAACAGAGAGGAGGAAACCCTCCTACACTTCATCTGGGAATGCCCATCTTCGAGAATATTTTGGATGTGGTGGGCCACCCACTGGCAAAACTTGGGGTCAACACTCTCCTGGGATCAGCAATGCGTGCTCACAGGCCAACTGCCTCCACTGTTCTTCCGCAAACAGGGCTGGGGATACATGGCCCAGGCAATCCGCTAAGCCATCACATGGACAATCTGGGAGGACCGCAACAGCATTGTGTTTAGAAACGGATGGACAGCGGACTCCACCATGAAGAATAAACTCAAGGCTACAATCAGAGTGATGATAGCAGCAGACTGGGTCAGAAAAGAAGACAGGGGCAAGTCACAACAGGGAATGAGGTGGTTTCTCTTCACATGGGCAAGGGGAAATCGGCTGGCAGCAGTTGCATTGGAAGGAAAAATGGTGTACTCTCCCTGGCTCAGTCATGCAGAGTAGCTAGTCGAGTGGGGAGGGGATGCTGGGAAGGTAGTAGTTTGGAAGGAAGTAGTTTGGATAGATAGGTAGGAGTGTAACAGAGTTGAAGCTATAGAGAAGGGGAATAGGGTCCCCACCTGACCCCTCGGTGGGGAAGCAGAGATAGGCCGCAGGAGGCCAAGGGCCCAGGTCTGGCTGGGTTTCGGAGGGGAGTAGGTAGTTAGTTAGAAAGCCTAAGCCCAGGCGGCTCGGGGGGGTCGTTTTTTAGACCTCTATGGTCCAGTTAGACCAATTTGAAGTGCGGTAGTAAGGAATAGTAGGGTCAGGTAAGCGGTAGATTCTAGAAGAGGTTAGATGGACACAGCCACAGGAGAAGACAGGGGTTAGAATGCGACATCCGGAAGGAAAGCATGCAGACTAGTTGAGGTTAATAAAGGCAAGAGAAGGAAATAGTTAGCAGGGGTAGACAGTAAATGAGAAGTGCCGGTTTTTTTTTTTTTTTTTTTTTAAAACAGCCAAAATTCATATTTCATATAGAGCATGCCACGTGTCCACCCTACTGTAAACATGAAAGATTAATGCACTGACACGTAAGCACACAGCATTAGCCTAACAGGCAGCTTGAATTGCCCTCACCCGAGGGGTCAGCTGCCCATCACTCTGTAAGGTCCTTATCACCTACTCCGAAACCCTCAACGTGTAACAACAGCGTGCAGCCCGGGACAATCAGAATAGGAAAACTAGTGCTAAAAAAAACGAAATCATATATGCATGCCACGTGGCTGCCCCAATAGGGATGCAAAAGTTCAGCCGAGCAGCCACACAGGCACATATTTATAACTGGTGAACAGCTTCGATTACCCTCAATAGAGGGGATTGACTGCCCACCAATTCATGAGTTCATATCCCTGCTCCGAAGTACTCATCTATCATACTGCGCCATGAGAAGGGGGGCCATTCAGAGCAGGCATCCTAGCGAAAACTAAAAACAGAGTAGCCACGTGGGAGAACCCAGAGGAGTTTCAAAAAAAACTTAACGCCAATCACCCCGTCCACGTGGCAAGATTTATCACAGTGGCAAACCGTAGTACCTCCTACACTGTTGCCACGTGGCAAAACCTACCGTATTACCATGTGGATACCAACAAATATGGTAAGGCAGTTCTAGTCTCTATCCTATCCCCTCACGCGCCCCCCCCACCCTTCCAAGATGCTAAGCAAAGCATGCAAACAAGCCTCTCGCCCTGGCCCCCTATCGTCAACACAATTGCAAAGGAGAGGGGACACGGGGGGAGAGAAGGGGGGTGGGGAGAAAAAGGAAACCCCAAACACACGTTCCCTCCCGTTATTCTGGCGGCCACCATCGTCTTCATTTGCAGCAATCATGTTATCGTTGTTGTTGTTGTTGTTGTTGTTGATGGTGTTGGTATTGTTGTTGTTGTTGTTGTTGTTGTTGTCGTTGTTGGTGGGAGCAACAGCAGTATCGTTGTTAGTATCGTCGATATAGAGCTGGTCGTCACAGTTATCACCCTCCGCCCCCAGTGCTGCAGAGAGATCTTGCCCCTCCACAAAGATCTCGTTCGAAGACGTTGGGAGTGGGGGAGCCGCCCCCCCATCAGTCTCCTCCCAAACTCCCAGTGCAGCAGGGCAGCACACCTCCACTGGCAAATTTCCAATGGTGATCGCCGCCAGCTGTTGTGCTGTAATTTGTTGAAGCTCTTCCAATTGCAAAAAACACTCTTGTAAATCACTTGTTGCCGACTCCTCATGAAGAGTGCCCGGCAATGAGGAAGCCATCTGTTGCAGCACGTCCCACCATTCAAGGATGGAGTCGTCAACCTCATGCAGTATCAACAGCGGCAGTTTACCCTCGGCTTGCAGGATGAACTCGATTGCCTCGCATATTTGTTGTTTATACACGCGAACTATGTCCGCCGGTGATGCCATGTCCCACCATGAAAGAGACGAGGCAGGGCTTGTCGATGCTGCAGGCTCCATCACAAACGACCTTATATCGCTCCGCGACGCTGGGCCCGGTTCCCAGTTTTGTATCAATCAGCGAGGAAATGGTTGTATCTATGGGACGCTGGACCCGGTTTCCAGCAGGTGCTGCTCCCCACCAATAGATGGAGCTTGTCTTTTTCAAAAACAAAAAGCTTCTCGACGCCACACACCGCACTCACAACCCTAGTAACACCCCTCCCCCGTCAGACACACCCTTCTCAACGGGCACTACGTTGGACGCCACGTGGCGCACATACGGTCCGACTTGAAGGCCACGTCAGCCTCACTGACGCGTCGCGCAGAGAGCAGGCTGGACCCTGCCAACCAGTCCCCCGCGAGGTACCAGGGCGCTAGAGGTGCGCAGCGCTTCGTCTCCTCTCTCTTTCGGCAAAAAAGGTCTATTCTGCTTGGCCCGGTAGCCTCTTCACTCTGCTCTTTCTCCCCCCATACCCCGTCTCATCCTTGAGTACGACAGTTGAGGAGAACAGGCGGCAAAAAAGGTCTATTCTGCTTGGCCCGGTAGCCTCTTCACTCTGCTCTTTCTCCCCCCATACCCCGTCTCATCCTTGAGTACGACAGTTGAGTAGAACAGGCAGACAAAGCGAACTGGGGTAATGCTCCCTGCTTTTTTTCCGGTCTTTATGTGGGGTGGCCGGCCCCGATCAACATTTGTTCAATATAATGAATTACGGCCTATCAAGATTCAAAAGAAAAGAAAAAGAAAAGAAAACGTCGGCAGATTCTTTCGCAGGTGCCGACCCAGCCACTCATGCTCGTTTTGTCCCGGGGCCTCCATTTTCCGGTTTCAAATTGGCGAGCAGCGGAGCGCGGCAGAGCTTTTGTTTCTTTCTGTTTGATGGAAAGCGTGCGTGGACTTCTGGCGTCGCCACTTCACAGTCGAAACCAAACCAGCGACATATGCAGCTTTGAGCACATATGAACGGTAATAGATGCATGTTGCCATATTTGTGAGACGGCGGTTTGGCAATGCCCTCTATTGCTCATAGCCCGGCCATAATCCTAGATATCCTAGATATTGACTACTCCTAGGTCGTAAATCCCAACGAAAGTGCCAGTGTTGACTACGCGCGGGAAGGCACAGACACAAACAGGCGCCAAGGTCTCATTTTGCACACTTCCAGAATACTGGACCGAGGGCAAATATTCCTAGACGTTCAATATTATATATATATATATATATATATATGACGTTCAATATTATATATCGTCACAAACATATATATATATATATATATATATATATATATATATATATCGTACATCGTAAATCCCAACGAAAGTGCCAGTGGATGCTACGCGCCGGAACGCAGGGCCACAACCGATGTGGCAATGCAGTACGGGCGTCGCCTCATGGCACAGAAAACGAAATGAACGAGAACAGCGAAGGCGGGGACGGCAATCAACATGTCTCCCGCCTAGGACTTTGGTAATGTATCTGGCGGCAACTGCGGCCTGCCGTGGACAAATCTAAAATTAATCAGCTCCAGAAATAACCCGAAAAAGGGCCTCGCTGCACTACTCTCGAAATGTGCAAAACGAGAGTGAATCTTCCGCTAGAATATGGAAAGATGCACCGCCATGATTTTTGTCTTTTGTGCTTGTCGCGAGTAGTGGAGCGACGCCCAAAGTCCCTTCACCGAAATTGTGTCTGAAAGGGATATACACGCGAGCCCCAGCTCCCACCACGTGACACTCCTCTGGGATAGTGTGGAGCCAGCACGGAAAATTTCGGACCCTGCATCGGGCAGCTGCTCTAACCCCTGGTCTGATCTTTTTCCCTTTTTTGTTTTTTCGGCGGCAGGCAATTCCGAGTAGCGGGTGTTGCAGAGGCGGGCGGTAGCAAAGGAGATGGCTCATGTGATGAACCCTTAGGAATAAAAGAGATCGTAGACGACTCCCAGATCAAGCGTGCTCGCAACCGTACGGGGCGATTGTCTGCTCTCTGCGCAAGGTACGTGGTGAACAGTGGCTCTGTGTACTCGCTTCAGCACTAGGCACTCATTTTGCGTTCCGTCCTTTCGATACGTTCTTTTCCTTATTTCGGGTCCACGAACTTCATAGCCACATTTGCCTTCTTCCTTCCATCTCTTCCCGGCTATCTCCCTGCGTCTGGTTGTCTCTTGCTTGTCTGCCTCGCCTTTCCGTGGTCGTGCGGAATCTGTTCAACAGAAGCTCACTCATTTTTCGTTTCCCCCTTTCGCTGCGTCGTTTTCTATTTCCGGTCATCGAACTTGGTAGCCACATCTACTTTCTTTCCTGTTCTCTCCAATCTCTTCGTGGCTTTCTCTTGCCTCTGGATTTCTTCTTGTTTGTACGCCACTGCCTTATCGTGGCATGGACTAAATTACCCCATTCGTTCTTTTTGGCCTCTTCTTCTCTGCTTACGCTGTCTCTTTATGCGAAATCTGCAAATAGAAGTACCAAGCATAGACGTGATGCCGATAGAAAAGAGTAGGCATAAGTGAGTGGGCAAATAATCGAGTGGAGAAGGGGTCGCACTCTGTTTACTTCGAGTGGAGAAGGCGTCTCTCTCTCTCTCTCTCTCTCTCTCTCTCTCTCTCTCTCTCTCTCTCTCTCTCTCTCTCTCTCTCTCTCTCTCCCTGTGTGTGTCTGTGTGTGTTTGTGTCTCTCCCCACCCCTACCTCCCCCTGTTCCCTTTCGCTCTCGGCTGTTCGACTCGGTATTCGTCTCTGTGCTTCGTTCGCGTTTGTTCGTATAGTTGGCGCGGTGTGTCTGGGGAGTGGTGATGATAACGCATTTTTGACCTTCTGTCGTGTGCAAACAGGAGAGACTGTATGGGTTCGAAAGGTCCAAGTCTCTTTGCGTGTAATGGAAGGACGCTCTTGGGTAGCGAACGGAATGGTGGAGAGATTCCCCAAGTGCCGCGGTGAACTGCTTATCGTTGCTGGGGATCTTCTGTATTTTCGGCAATGAACTGACCTCCTGTATTAGTTGGAATTTAACTGTCTTTTGGTCGTTGGGGATCTTCTGCATAATTGGCAATGACCTTCCGTCGTGTGCAACGTGGCTTTCGTCGTGTGCAAAATGTACCATTGTCTGATTGTCACCGACTCGAGAGATCGCGTGTGGCATGAAAGAGAAGCTTCCGTCCCCCTCCGGTTTCGCATTCCCTCCTACCTTTCTCTTGTTCATTCGTCCTTGATTTTCTCTTTCTCATGTTCGTCCTTGATATTCTCCCTCCACCAGTTCGTGACTCTCTCATTTACCAGAGACTCGCGCCGCCTCCCCTCTCCGTACTCCATGCTTGCTTTGACCGCTTCCGAGTTGCTGTCAACGTATGAGTATGTGGTGCTGGTGTTGCTGGTGTTGATGGTGACGACGAGCCTGCCTGGTCTGCACCTGAATCTGGTTGCCTTTTTGGCGCATCTTCCCGTGCTTTTCGTCAAAGTTTCTGTTTTGTATCGAGTGGCGGCAAAATCATGCACTCAATTGACTTGCTGAGTCCATTTAGAGGTATTGTCGTGCGCACTTCAGCACAGCGGATTGCGTTCGGTTCTCGGACAGTCCTTCGCGCGAAAGAGACACTTCCCGTTGCAATAATTTCCCTCCAAATACTCCCGTGTCTATCTTCGCGTTGGAGTGTGTTACCGGAGTCGCGCTGGAGCTCCCCCCGCTCCAGCTTCTTTTTGACCGCTTCAGTCTGAACGGCTGTCAAGGTGCGTGTGCGTGTGACGTTGTTGCCAAGTTGATGATGCTCATGGCGATGACCACCGGATCTCCTGCGTTCGTTTGCGTCTCGCTCTTCTGTCCGGGTCTGAAACACTCTGTTTGCCGTGAGCCTACTTCATGTCTCTTTTCCCTCTTTGATATCCTTTTGGTTTTGCATCTCTGTGTGCTGCTCGTAGCTTGTGTGGTAGGTGGTTCAGATAGGTCGTAGAGCGCTGCGCGGTGGGTTCTCGAGCAAGTCGTTCGTGACGCCATGACGCGTGTGGGCGGGCTCACTGTCGAAGCTGACCGAACGTTATACTTGTCACATCGCTGCGTTGCTCTCTCGGTTCGATGGTTGGTTGTCTCTCCTGTTGCTGCAGGTTGCGCTGTTGGGAATTTGAAGTCGCACACCACAGCGTTTGAAGCGAACGCAGTGCCAGTCGCAAAGATGGGTCGTTTTTCTGCGGCCTTGGCCGTTGCCAGCTTGGTTTTTCTGGCTTGCGCCCTCCATGTCGCAGATGCCAAGAAGCCATGTGCCTGCGCCCCTGGGACGAAGCGCTGCTGTAAGGACGGTCCCTGCCTCAAGTGCTGCAAGGATTGTGATTGCGGCCCCGGGAAGAAGTGCGTCAAGGGAGACTGCAAGCCGTCGTGCGGCTGCCCGGCTGGACTGAAGCGATGCTGTAAGGACGGCCCCTGCGTGAAGTGCTGCAAGGACTGCGATTGCCCCAAGGGGCACAAGTGCGTCAAGGGACAGTGCAAGTCCCCTTGCGGCTGCCCGACTGGGCTGAAGCGCTGCTGCAAGGACGGTCCCTGCGTGAAGTGCTGCAAGGATTGCGATTGTCCCAAGGGGCACAAGTGCGTCCACGGAAAGTGCAAGCCCTCGTCCTGCCCCAAGGGACTGAAGCGCTGCTGCAAGGACGGTCCCTGCGTGAAGTGCTGCAAGAACTGCGATTGTCCCCGTGGGCATAAGTGCGTCAAGGGACAGTGCAAACCCTCGTGCGGCTGCCCGCTTGGACTGAAGCGCTGCTGTAAGGGCGGTCCCTGCGTGAGGTGCTGCAAGAATTGCGATTGTCCCAGCGGTCAGACCTGCGTCAAGGGACAGTGCAAGCTTCCATGCTGCCCCAAGGGACAGAAACGTTGTGTGCCCTGCGGTCCGTGCAAGAAGTGCTGCAAGGATTGTGACTGTGCCCAGGGAGAGAAGTGTGTCCTGGGAGAGTGCAAGCCTTGTGAAAGTGCAACGGTCACAAGTGCAACGGTCTCGCTCTCACCGATTGAGCCAACTCCATGAGGGAAGTGCTGCAATGGTCATCATGGTGGGCGCTGGAAGAAGTGCGGTCAGTGACAGGGCAAGCCTGTGTGAGGGCAATGAGCGGCGCCCCTTGTCCGTTCAGTAGAAGGGTAAATGCAGCGTAATTGCTTTCCGTTGAGCAGCATTAGTACAAACGGACGTTACGGTAGTGCCGATGCTGAGTCTGCAGTACGCTTTGTTGCAAACGAGCTTGCTTACCTTACTGTGGTTCTGAACTACCCGCGGGCTCTACAGCTTGGGTTGAACGATGTGACAGATTTAGCGGGTAGGTTTCCTTCGTAGGGAACAATTGTAGAGGATCGAGGTTGATCTGCATCCGCCATGATTGCCACTATTAGGTTACCGTCTTCGGTTTTCATGAGTCGTGACAAAGTAGAACTAGGCTCATCACCAACAGCCGAGCCGCTGAAGTTCGGCTCGGGCTTCCAACAGCGGGAGTTGTGGAAAAGGCGTAGTGCACAGAGCGACGGCAGTGTGCTCTTGGCTTCCCTCGCAGTCATGGGTGACCCTCTATGAGGCCTTGACACGGCTGTCCGGAATTGATTGGTGAAGAGAGGAGACCGAACCTGTTCCTATTTTCAGATCATTGTCCTTCGCCCCAGCAGACCCGGCCGGATCTGCTTTATTGTTTTGCTATCGTAATAATAACAATGAAAGCATTTTCTCATTTTGGCTTGTGAGTCGTGACCATTAATTTGCGTCCCAGTGCTGTTGTCTGATGGAGCCTCTTTCTCGGTCTTTTTCTTTATCTGATTCTCTTGCGGGAGAACATGAGCAATACTTATTTTATTTCGATCGATTTTCAGCTCAGCAACAGTAGACTGAGAGCTGATGATGCCACCATTTTGATGGAACGAGGTCTGGACAATGTATGTTCTTCCATGCTGACATGGGAATCAAGGAAAGCAAGCTGAAGGAAACATGTGCGTAAATACCTGTTGTGAACAAAAATGTTGTGCTGCTTTGGGTGCTCGACTTCTAGGCAAGGATACGGCCAGCACCTTCCATTGTGACAAAAAAAATGCACATGGATGAACTTAAATTTTATGACCTGGCGTCCATTTCGTTCCAAGTTGGAGCCTTAATCTGGTCCACACGCTAAGGAAACAACCTCAAATGACGTTCGGGCGCTCCTAAAATAGTGGCTTGTTTACGGGCACGACTTGAGGAAGTACTGGTGGTTTAAAAGAGACATTTCAAAATTTAATTTATTCTCTGTTTTTAACTATTTATTCTTCTTGTACACACACGAGAAGGGAAACCTCCTCAGAGCCGGTGCCGTTTTCCTTAATGCTGCCAGGAAACCTCTCACTGTGTTCATCTCTCTGTCTCTGTCTGTGTCTCCGTTTGTGTCTCTGTCTTTGTCTCTCTCTCTGCCTCTCTCTCTCTCTCTCTCTCTCTCTCTCTCTCTCTCTCTCTCTCTCTCTCTCTCTCTCTCTCTCTCTCTCTCTCGTTTCACACACCAGAAGCCAAACGTCAGAGTTGGTTCAAGTTGAATATCAGGGATATAGTTTGAAGCTGGTTAAGCCAATGAGTCCACTGTGTTGCATGACTCCGCCAGTCCCCCACTCCGCCAATCCCCCACTCCACCTTCTCACGCGCAGTGTTTCCGCCGCTCCACCTTCCCCCTTTTGCATTGGTCGTTGTTTGCTTCCGCGGGCAATTTCTGTGTTTATCTCTTTTCTTTTCCATTTGTTAAGTGACTATCGTTTTCGAAAACATACTCGCTTCTTGATGCGAACTTGAAAGAGGATTCGGACTTGGGTCTCTATTTCTCAAAGTTCTTTTTGAGAGGAATCCAACTCGGGTCGCTATTTCCAAAGGGCTTAAACCACCACTACCGCCGCCGTCATAAATTAGGGGGGACCGGTGTCCAGCGCATTGGCTCCCGCCTTTTAGCAAGTGTGGGAACCCTCCCGGCTCTGTCACGCAGGAGATAAACAAAAGCAAAACAAGAGCACAGACAACTTGGAACGATGCATAGATAATCCCGCAAGCCGCTAGGGCGGACGAGGTGGCATCGCTCTTTTCGCCGTTCGAGTTAGGTGCGCCAGTTGTTCTACCTGTGGTCCCCTACGACAGGATAGGTTATCACGGGGCATAACTTGCCTTCCCTAAGAGGTTGTCACCACCCTTAGGGGCGTATCCCTATCGAGCTACTAACCCAGATGCAAAAACTCTTAAATGCAGTTGCAGAGGTAGGCGAGTCGAGGGCGATTGGTCTTTCGCTGCAAAATTGGTATGCTTGGTTAAACGCCAAAGTGAACCCGAACGCTAAGTACGATCGAGTATCGTCGACTAGGACGGTCTCAACCCAGCGTGAAACCCACTTCTCGATCCTAGTCCCTTTACAATTTTCATTAAACAAAACAAATAAAATCAATACATTTTGTATCCAATCACGCAAGATCAGTTTTTGACTAGATGAGATGATCTGTCAAAGTTATTCTTCCCAACCTATACAATTGAAGATAAATTTTATACCGCCTCTTCCAGAACGGAAACTCTCTATTGACGAAAGATTAGGAATGGACAACCTAACATTTGACTTATGGTTTGGTTCACCGACACACTTACTAAACTCTGTCAGGAAGGACTTACGCAAGTACATTTCACTGCTACCATGCAGATCAACAAGTGATCTGGCTCCCGACCAAAGCTTGAACTCTCAATTTGACCTCACCTCCGCAGCATAAGCAGTTGCTTGGAGGAAGGTATTATCTAACGAATAAAATTTTGTTGATTGCTTTTATCGTTTTGGGTAGTAATTACTCTTTTCGTTCCCTCGAATGATGAAGTATCTATCTTCATCATCAGGTTACTCAATCGAAAATCGCAATCTTTTGTCTTTTAACAAAGAATGTACACCCTCCAATTGTCCTCGCATGAAGTACGTTAACTAATCATTGATATATGATGATTAATAACTGTTCGATGCCTACCAGAGGCCTGACATTTTTCCAACTTTTGGTTCATAGCTGATTTCCGTATGACTTCGTAAAATATTTTTCACGCATGACATACGTTGCTACGCGCCCGATTACCCCTTGATGTTTAAGCATGATAGTGAGATCATTGGAATAAGTTGAATACTATCCATCTGGTTGAACCTATCTATAATTTTTTTTTTTTTTTTTTTTTTATTATTACCCTTGTTGAGCCGTATAACCACGACTTTAACATAGGGACAGCTCGACATGGCCCCTGAATGTCATAAGTAGGGTAGCACGGCATACGTGTATGCGGGTTGCGCGTACACGCATACACGTATTCCTGTACGCGACATGCACGTGAGTACACATACTTCCGTACGTGGGAATACGTAAAAAAAAAAAAAAAAAAAAAAAAATCATCGAAAACATCTGAAAAACAGTTATGTTATGCAAAATGATATTTCGAAGAACTTTTGTCTCAAACTCATCTCAAAATTCTGTACCAAACTCGACTTAAAAATCAAAGACGCAAAAAACAAATAAATTAAAATAATTAAAAAAAAAACCTAGGGAAAAAAAACAAAAAAATAAAAACAAAATACTACAACAAATATATGTTATGCACAAACATGATACAAACAATCCCCGAATTCCCAACCAAACTCGAGTAAGAAATTAAAAACTAAAAAAAAGGTAATATAATCATAATAATTAAAAAACTATTTAAAAACTAGGTTACCAATGGTCTGGGGCCCGGTCATCTCCCCTGGACGTTGCCACATACGTCCGGTACCCCCGTCGTCCGGACAAAAAAGTTTTTTTTTTTCGTAAAAAAAAAAAACAAAAAAAACGTTTTTGATTTTTAACTCAAGATTGGCTACGAACTTGAACATGACTCCAAGGCCAAAGTTGCTTGTATTGGACTTCAAGACATAACATATATTTTTTTCAGATTTTTCTGAGGGTTTTTTTTTTTTTTTTTTTTTTTTTTTTTTTTTTTTGCGCTAGGTCGGACGTCCAACCAGACGTCCGGTCGGACATCCCGAACGGTCAGGGGGGTCCCGGACGCCCGATGCAACAACCTAGTTTAATTTTTTTTTATATTTTTTTTAAGGTTTTTGATTTTTAAATCAAGCTTGGTTTGGAATTCGGGTACTACTCCCAAGCAAATGTTGTTTGTATCATTATTCTGCACAATATACTTTTTTTCAGATGTTTTTTATTTTTTTTTATTTTTTATTTTTTTTTACGTACGTGTACACACGATTTTGGGTTCGTACGCTTACGCCGGAATACGTACACGCTATGAAACACCCGCGGACGCGTCCGCGGGGTCAAGCTCGGAGGGCGGACGTGATCACGGCCGCCGCGGGTCCGGCCGCGGATGGGTGCGGCCGCGACTTTCAGGAATTTTTTGTGACCTTAAAATTTTATCAAAAAACAAAATAAAAAATATGGGGTTGTAGATCTTTTTGAGATCTAGATTTCACAATTTTTTATTTTATTTTTTGACTTTGTCTTCGAATTTTCTAAATTCAAAAACTAATTTTCCTGCTGCAAARKTKKTTTKKTTTTTTTTAAAAAAAAAAAAAAAAARAAACKTATGTGATTTTTTATTTTAAATTCAGTATTGTTTYTGGATATGACCACAAGGCAAAAGTTGTTCAGTATATTATTCTGCATAACATATTGTTTTTTCAGAATTTTTGGATTTTTTTTTTTTTTTTTTTTTTTTCCATGGCCGCGGACCGCGGACACGTCCGCGGGGTCGCGGCCTAGGCCGCGGCCGCGGATTTGTCCGCGGATGGCCGCCGCCGAGGGGAATTCGTAGCGTACACGTACGGGGTGCTACCTAGGTCATAAGAATGTGCGTCTAGCCGAGATAAAGTTGTCGACCCTCACGGGCCTCAACTTCAATTTTGTCGAGTCGTGCAAGTTTCCTCGCTATCAAAAGTCAAAGCGGTAATGTGTCAACCTCGCACGACCCGAACCATCCGTGTACCATAAAGGGAAGTCATCTGTGAGGCTCACCTCCAAACTATGGCACGAAACGGTTGCCGCATCTAAAAGATGTGCCTAGCTGTAGTGTCCTTAATCCTAACGATGTCATAGCGTTCCCATGTAGGGTAATCTTAACACTCACAATGAACCGAGAAAGGCATTGGATGTTGCTCGCGCAGTGGAAATACAAAGTATATCCATGAAACTCGTCCCGAAGTCGAGCCACATTGGCATGCATATCCACGCTCGAGGCAAGAAAAAATTATTCCCCATCTTTATGCAAAGAAATAGAACCAACTCAACAAGTGGGTGTATCATCCTGAGCAAACAAAAGTTGCTCCACTCACCGGATCAGCTCCTTATCAAATGTGTCGCGAATCGGCAAATATCTCCCCTGAGTGAGATCCCGCCGACCGCTGAACATCTGCACATCCAAAGGAAACGTCCATCATTAAGGCGTTCCCCGATCTCATACTCCTCATCACCGAATGCATAAATAGAAAAACGTTCAGATCGAAAACTATCGAATTTGTTGGCTGGAATCCGCCTCACATGATAAAGAAGACAGAAAGGGTTTTGCCAATTATTCAGCCATTTCAGAATGCGAAGTAACATCTTCCTAACCTCCGAAGCGTCCTCCCTATTCGGATTCGACTCGTGAACCACGACGAGATTCAAATCCCCGAAATCTCGTGTCGGATTAGGAGGCACGAAATCATACCGGATCATATGAAG